ATTTTTTCTTCAATACTAATTCAATTCGAATTCACAGAATTCAATTCGTTCAGAGATGTACAGTTCGTCGTGTGTTTACATACATGAATAAAACTTGAATTTTGAAACTGAAATAGGAAACTTATGGCAACAAAATAGAAATTTAAATGTAATCCATGATAAAGATTTTTTAATTTTGACAGTTCCATGGATATGTGACTTAGCATTCATAACGCTTTTAGTGTAGATTTAAAAATTTAATATAAAATAACATGATCTGAATAAACATTCAAGTATATTCTACATTTTCAATATAAAAATGTGAAATAAAACTATGTGATACAAGTCTTAAATTTATTTTAAAAATATATAATTCTATAAAAAATAATTTAAGATAATACATATATACTTCACTTAAAATAGGTAAAAAAACACATGATCTAATATAGAAAATGATATTTTTATGAATAAAATAATTTATTTATGGATCATTTAAATTTAATCTACTTTTCTTTTTGGATAAATCATTTAAATTATATACACTTACAATATCTTTTAAAATTGAGTTTTTCAATTTAGCTTCAGTTAGAGTTTTTGGGTTAAGTAAATTTAGAATTATGTTTACTTCAAACTTTACATTATCTTGAGCAATCAAAATTTTCATCCATGATATTACCAACTAATTTTTATAATAAAATGATTTTTTGTGATACAATATTAATTGAAAATGAGAGTTATTGAGAGATAAATGTCAAATGATATAGAAAGTTATCCAAGATGGAAATACTATTATATGAAAATTTTATATCTCATCAGAAATTATTTTTGAATCTTCATATTTGATCTTATTCTTAATCTAGAATACACATCCATTAACACTACTTATAAGACACAATTATTTAGTTAATGATGATTAAATTTATACTTATGCATAAAATATGTAATTTATGATATATGATTTTGTCATGTAATATAGATTAAGGATTGTATTTTGCAATGTGATAAAGAAAATATTAAACATACATCAACATAAAACACGTATTACACAGTTTTAGAATCCACGGAGTCTTGGTCTACGTAATATTATCAATTTCTGAAATTCCTTAGAAATAATTACTTCTTTTTTTCATTTTATAAGGAAGTAATGTGATAGGAATTAGAAGTGCGTAATAGAATCTCTTAATTAGATTATGTAAGTATCTATACATATTTTATAATTTCTTCATTGCATAGATTGATGCATGATTTGGAAAATTTTGATGAATTACTTGTTTTCACTCTTGATATCTGAGATCATCTAATATTTGTGAGTTCAAGTAAATCATCGTCGAAGTTGAACGAATCTTGCAAACGTTACAAGTTTTAAGAAGTCATTCTGCAATATCAATCCTACAATTATTGCGCTTCAAACTTAACACAATTTTCATGAATTTTTGAGATATTTGCTTGATGGGACCCCACGGATAGTTTGTCGTCGATGAGTTCTAGTAAATGTTCTAATATGAATATGTTCTTGTATCTATTCTTGTATTTGTTCTTTTCTTTGTCTATCTGCATTAATCCGCTCTACTCTAATCTCGATTGCGTAGGTAGATCTGGCCACGACTCGACTAACGACTAGTCGACTTGCTCCAGACGCCTAGTCGACTAGGCGTCGACTAGTCGACTATTTTTTGACTAAATTCGGGAGTCTCAGAAAAACTCAAAATCGCTGTCATACTCATTTATTCAAAACTTTCAAAAGTAGATTCCACGATCGAAGCTTCATCATCTTGGAAATATTCTCATCGGATAGACTCGAGCGCTGAGAAGTGACGAACGAGCCGCTGTCAGAGAAGGCGGACTCTGAAGGGACTGAGGAGCCCATCACAATAAATTTAACACGAGCAAGTCGCGATAACAAAGGGAAGCGTTTGCTGGAAGCGGATCACCATTCCAGTGATTCCAGATGACTTCTTGTGATACATTATCACAAGAATTATCGATCTGACCACGTTCAGCACAAGATCTTGCACGCGCCAACTTGGCAGCGGCAAGAAGACCCAATCGCTGAGGAATCTCAACATTCTGCTGCTGTTGATATCCATACCTGACAATAAGAATTTGGCAAATACGGAACTTGAGCTCCTGAATGTCTTCATCGGGAACAGGCACAGATGGATCGAGACATGAAGCGAGCAAGCAGAGAGGGCTGTTCATGTTCTCCTTAAACTTTTCCAACTTTGAAAGCATCGCTTCTGCAGCTTGCTTCGCAGTTGGTACAGTGAATCCAGATTCCAGTGTGCTGGATATCGTCTATAGGCAATGCGTCTTGAGAGACTCGTAAATAAGAGGTTGAATATACAAGATGACATAGCTACTACCGCTGGCAGTAGTTGTCAATTCGCTGGCTGGACGAAAGAAGTCCACAACTGCTTTGATTTCTCGCCAATCCGTTTGACTCAACTGCAAACCGCCCAACGATGCAGTAAACTCTTCTTTGTTGCACATTGACTCAAAGACATATTTGACAAGAAAGCAGTTATCAACCATTTCAAACATAGAGTTCCAACGGGACTCAACGTCAAGGCCCGGTACATCGACGATGTTCCGCCTGCCCAGCAACACCTGGATCTCTCGGAACGTCACACGCAAAACCGCCGAGACGCGAATCATCTTCAAAAGAGATCGAATCTTCTCAACAACAGGCTTCACGATTGTTCCACAATCTTCTACAGCTCTGTTGATGATGTGACAAACACATCGAACGTGCCAATCCGACTCTAGCTTGGCATCAAACTCTTCATTCAACTTCGCAGCAACATGGCGCATCGCCGGCGGCATCTCGCCACCACTATCTGTTGTGACGGCTCTGACGCGAGTCGCGAGGTTTAGATCTTTCAGGATAGAAAGCAGCAGCTCCGACGTTGTCCATTGATTATGTGGTGGTGGAAAGTAAACGAACTCGATGACAGTAGAACGTAAATTCCAGTTTTCGTCGACCCAGTGCAGCGTCACATCAAAGTAGCCTCTCATGATTCGAGAATACCAACCATCGCAAGTGAGTGCGACATCTACTAGAATTGACTCCAACACCAACGCAATCTTCGCTTTCGCTTCTTCGTATGCATCGTCCACGCCTCGCTCAATAGTCCTACGGCTCGGTACATTAAAGAAAGGGTTCAACTCATGCATGAATTCTTTGAAGAAGTTGTTCTCGACGACTGCGATCGGCTGCTGCTTGTCCACGATCCAATTGACTAGCTTCGAGAACAACGGTGTCCGTTTGTCGTCGTCGAGCCGGTTGTGCGCAATGAGACGCCCGCCATTCTTACTGAATGTGAGCTGATCCACTTGCCCTGGAACAGCATCTCCTTTCGTCAACCTATGCTTGCTCGTTAGGTCCGAAGCGAGCGTAGTCGTCGATGTTCCCTTCGAGAACGACCGCCCGCAGCCTTCGACTGCACACGTTACGCGCACAGTGATGTCATCGTCTTCATAGAAGTGATCGAACACCCATGAGGTTTTCTTTAGCTTCTTAGAGTGTCTCCCTGTTGCAGACGTTGATCCGGATGCGCGGCCGGACGGCCTGAAGAATTGTTCAGAGGTAGGCTCATCATGGGATTCATCGCCGATTTTGATGACTTTGTCTTCCGTGTCGCTACTACTGGAGTAAGACTCAAACATGACAGATGACATATTGGAGAAACTTCTAGTCTTCTAGACCTTCTCAGACTTTTCTCACGTCACTCAGTCACTCAGTCACTCAGTGGTCACGACCTGAGGCTGACTGGCTAAGTGCGTCACGGAGTCCATGGCGCACTTGTAGTAACCGACTAAGTTGTTGACTAGTCGACCAGGGCCGAAGGCTAGTCGACTAGTCGGAGTTCCGACTAGTCGACTAGGTCATCGACTAGTCGATTAAGTGCCCAGGTCTATGCGCAGGCCCATCGGGGAGTGCGCGCTCGCGGACACGGGCCGGGCAAATTTTTTTCCTCTGTTTCTCTATGTGCTCTCAGTGCGCATCGGTTCATTGGGTAAGTTTTGAACCTCCTTCGCGAAGTACTAAATGCTTATCGCCATTTTGCGCATGGGGTGAACAGAGAGAGGGAGGGAGGCAGCAGCAGAGGACACAGGCAAGCTTAGACAAAGGTCTAGTAGCGTAGGCTACTCACGGGCAGCTCATTGGACGAGGGTCTAGTAGAGTAGGCAACTCACGAACTCACCGTCTATTCAATTCATACTAGAACACTGTCTATTTATACTAGAACAGTCTAACATGTGCCGGCTAGTAGAATAGACGACTCACGAACTCACTGTATTCAATTCATACTAGAACACCGTTTATACCAGAACAGTCTAACATGTGACGTTTAGTAGAATAGACGATTCACGAACTCACCATCTATTCAATTCATACTAGAACAGTCTAACATGTGACGTCGTTGGAATATCATTGCGTAAAATGAAACTTGATGGATCAAATCAAGCAAATATGTTCTTGATGGGATTCCATCAAGCAAATATCTCTGAATTTTCCTTTCATAGGATGTTACATTGTTATTTTCAAATGAGAAAACATAATTTTCGGCTCTACTTTATTGGACTATATTTAACCCCATCGGCGCGAGGGATGTGGTTTCCGATGACTCTTTTGATCATCCCGAATCTTATTGATCATACACTTCTGGGGTATTGTGACAATGCTACTACGATAAGAATCCGAATTCAGAAGCTATGTTGTAAATTCATTAAGTAAATGTGGCAGAATTCCAGATGAAATTCTCTTACCGGGCACAGACATCAATACTAGCTGTGCCGCAATCTCCGAGGATCGCTTACTGTTGTATCATTTCTCAAACTCTCCTCGGCTCACAATATACATACTAAAAATATCCCGTCATAACCACAAGTAGCAAGTGCCTTCACCCCAAATTCGTGTAAAACCAGATCTACTTGACCAGGCGAAGTGTGAAGAAAACTTTACAAAGCAATCGATGAGAAAAAAATTTAATAAATCTTTCATATCAAATGTACATAGCTCGTGCATAAAGTTCAGTTTCATTCAATACTCCAACGAAGTACGAGGTTGAATCACAGTGCAGCATTTTCAGATTGAGGGTGGACTAGGTCCACCCTGAACTCGAACATTGGTTCAACTACAGGTACAGTTCCGTAATGTAAAACACAGAAACCATCTACGCACGCTTCCGGCGCGCGCTGTCATATTGCCAAGCCGGAAACAAAGAGGTGACAGTCTACAGTCAAAATACAGCTGTACCTAACGCTGGTCCGTCCGGGCAACCTGCGTGTTTGACACATGTGAAGGAAGCTTCACATCCAGTGGAATCATCACAAGAAATTCAAAAGAAAAGGCCGATGCACTAACAGATTAGCCACATTCTGAGTGGTCTCGAATTCGTTGTCTGCCCACGGTAGTCAGGCTTCATTCCTTGACAACACGTGACACTTCACCTGCAGCATAATTTGTATATATCTCGTGTCAGGTGTCAAGAATCGTAGAAGCATCTAACGTGTAAATGGTATTGCGAGTCCATCGCGTAATATTTGCGGCTTTGCTTTTTGCTCTTTTCTTGCTCTTTTCTCTTTTTTGCTTTCTTTTGCTTTTGCATTTGCTTTTTTGCCGCTTTCTTTTTCAACCATTACACACATATGAACTTGTATCAACAGCAACGGAAAAGATGGCAATGAATATCTCGGAGTAGGCAAGGCAATAAAAAAGTCACGAGAGCTCTACTCACGACTAGGACATATCCGTATAGTTGACTGAGACTCAGAGTCGTGCTCTACTCACGACTAGGACGTATCCGTATAGTTGACTGAGACTCAGAGTCGTGAGCTAGAACTCCTTCAGGAAAGGGTGAAAGAACCAGAGCAAACGACCTCTCTTACCTACAATCTACGGCAGTGGCATAACAAGACTTCGCATTCATAAAACAAAACTCTCAGAAAAACAGGAATACCTTAAAGCACTTACAAAACAGGATCAATATCTGTCAATACTCTCCTCCCGAATGAAGCTCTGGGAGCGCTTCTCAAATTCCCTATAATTGACAACCCAACTTTTTTTGACGACAGCCAACGAATTAGAAGTCCAAAAACTCCAGAAGAATTCTATTCAGCTGCAGTTCGCTACCAGTCTGGTAGTTTTCATCAATGCACATCAGTATGTTAACTTTGTTCTTGAGCTTTTCACCAAAACACTGATCCAACACTACACCAACTACACAAGCATGGACATCGAAAGAAAATACTCAGAATAGGCGGAAATCCCCCCACGAGTAAGACTCTCACTGGAGACGGAAAACGTGGGGTAGAGGAGCAAAACTTGGGATCTTCTGAGAAACTTGAAAAATTATCAGTTCCTCCAAGGTGTAGTGGACAATCCTCCACCTCGTCCTCAATGAAAGAGCATTGTGATTACCTTCATACCTCGTCTCTTCTCTTTCCTAGGGTGCACTGGTGATTAGGTCGACGGACCATGAAGCCAGTGGACAAAGAGTCAACATAGTATAGCCTGAAAGCTTTCAGATCAGAAGGGTATATAACACGAGGTATTTGGCTAATGGATAGGGCTTCAAGATCATGCCCTGAATTCGGATATGCCGCAGTAGACAAATTGCAGTTTACATTCTACATCTCTACCACCAATTTAGAGTGAACTAAAGGTTACAATAGAGCTAGGGATGTCCCTAGTAGTACGGCCTATATCGCATGGGCCGCCTGAATCTTGGCACTTTCCTGGAATCAAAAACCATTTTACATATAACTCCTCAGCCCAAAGAGTGGCATGATTCGCAAGAGCAGTAAAACGAACAAAGTAGCAGGAAGGAACAGGAACGAACCTAAGATCAATGAAAGTAAACTAATTCCTGAGCGACTAAAAAAGAAACAGGAAATCAAGATGCTATGAAATATGCACGCCACATGAGTCAGGATGGAAATCCATAGCGGATACCCACCCATAACCATAGGGAGCATACCCATAGGGAGGCGGATAGGGCCTCCGCGGGCGGTACCCAAAATAAGGGTTGAAGCGGCGTCCACGAAACGCCTTCATTCCCGGCACATTCGTTCGCTTTGCTGTCACCTGCGCGTACATCGTCACAGGAACGTCAAAACACGTCGTGCCTATCACTGTAGTAAACTTCAACATGAGGAGGATTGAACGAAGACGAGAAAGTAATACATGCGGTAAACTGGAAAAAATTCCGCGCATCCCCAAGATTCCTTTGAAACAAGCTCCCTCCAGTGCAAGATCATGAACCTTACTTTGAGCTGGCGACCGTGCAGCTCGGATTCGCTCAGCAAAATGGCATTTTGTACAGCTTCAACTTCTAGAAATTCGACATATGCGTATCTGAAGTACAAGCCACACCAATATAGTTGATCACTTAACTGAGTTAAGGAAACACAGGAAAAAACCTAAAATATCGTTTGAAGATCACGCTAATCCGATCCACTTCGACTCCAACCTCAAGAGATTTCAATTAGGATTAATTCCATTACAAAACCAGCGATCGCAATATACTAAAGGAGACTACTGGAGAATGACGATACGATTTCATCCACGCCACGAGGTGGGTTCTTCACAGCTAACGCGAGGAGAGGATCAATATGTCATCAGGAGAGAAAGGACAAGACGATCGCGTAGATTTTAATTTTACACTATCTTCTTTCGTACAAGACGTGTCCAAGTCAAAACCGGAGAATGCTGAAAACGAGAAAGGTCAATGGATCTTTTCACGTCTCGGCTTGAAAGCCTTTTAAAAAGATTTTTTCAGACGGCTCTGCAGTTGAATAAAGAAGACGGTTCCATCAGTTTCACGATCATCGCAACAAATTGAGGGGTTCGAGCGAGTACAAAAGCGCCGATAAGATGGATGTTTTGACTCTCATTTTTTGCCGGTACATGAGGGGAACCTGGTTTGCAGAAGATAACCCTAACCCACGAAGATAGAAGGGCTGTTGAAGTGTCCACTGTGAGTACGTAGGAAATAAGACTGCAGAGTTTGGCTATAATCAGGTTCAAAACAAGTGTGTAAGGACAGAAAACAAATTATCAGATCCAACGGAGGTAATAATGGTAAATGGTAAATGGTAAATACGATGTAACAAAAAACGACCAAACAAGATGTGTTTCCAGACTGGCTTTGTACCTCACAGAAAAGGAAAAACACAGACCAACAACACGTAACTCGCCTCCGCCCTTTATACCCATGTTGACCTTTATACCCATGTTGACGGATAACGCACTCGTGAGACAATGTGTTTTCCTCGGACTTTTAACGATGCAGCCACCATAGTGCTGTCTTGAACTCAATGCATGAACAAGCCTAAGTCTATTTGTAAGCAGCAAAGACTGCAGTGTAGGATGGTCCTATACGAACCAAACAAAGTGAAGAAGACTCTGACCTTATCACATATGGAACAACAGTTAAATATACAGCAAGTGATGACTGATGAATGAGTAGTTTACGAACCCTTTGGGCTGTCCAAATTTATCCGTCAAGATGGTTACGCGATTGACGGTTCCACAAGACTGGAAGTGTTGCTGGACTTCCTCCGGAGTACAGGAGTAATCTACCTGTAGATCCAGAAAATAAGTACAAAGCCAGAATTAGGTCTATTGAACCTCGAAGCTTCGCGGCTCTGGCCTCCTCGTTAGTCTCAGGAACCAGGGAATACATTTCTTGAAGTACATACGGCATTTCATCACTGACAATATGCAATCTACGAAGCTCTTCACACAGTACAAATACAAAGAGTGTAGAGCTTGAACCGAAATAACTACAAAGAAAAATTCACAAATCGGCTTGAAAGCTTACATTGCCGACAAAAACAGAGCGGGCGTCGGCCTCCTCTCTGTTGGCTTGTGATGCTGCTGCACTGGCAGGGTCTGCAAGTAACAAAAAGCATGAACTGAGACCTCAAAACTGGAAATGGGGCAGTTGGCAGTCATCATCGTTATGAGATGAGGATGACTTACGATCAAAAATGGAGAAAGAAATAAGTCATTGACCAGTCTGCTCAGGAAATACAGTTGTGGTAACAACTACAACTCCGCTTTCACAATTGCTTGGCGTTCTCGCGAGAAAACGAGTTTGCACGGCAGAGATACCGAGGAATCTACTGGAAGTAAAGATCCGCGTAAGACTATTTATGACATGGAACACGCGATAAAAGAATTGCTAACCTCATTCTTCGGTCCTGCCAGTGGAACGTACCTTGCACTGCACTCATTTCCTTCTCGACTTTAGCTTGCATATCTCGTAAGGCTGCGGCTTCCTCTTCCATCTCTTTCAATCGTTTCTTCATCTCTTCCAACTCCTAACACAAGATACCATAAATATGAGAAATCAAGGAGCCCCAAAATCAAACTTCTCGCCAGACTTTAGGTTTTCAATTCTCCAGAGAAAGAAGAGCATAGAAGAAGTAATTTCGTCTTCCGGTAAATTCCAGTTACTTCAGTGTTTGGCGCCTAGAGGAGTTCTTCGAATCGCAAGTGCCACCAGGCAAACTACGGGTCTTCATGACAGTCGCAGGCAAAGTTTCTCACATGGGTTTAGGTGTCAGACCCAAACTGTGACATAATGTGTCGAATCCAAAGTTTCAATTATATAAACTGAACGTAAACCCCTGAGTGAAAACAAAGAGGAAATGGTAAAGAGAGAAACAATGAAAGAACCTTACGGAAGGATATAGTCAATTAAGTGACTTGGTTCGACAGTGACGACGCATGAAAGAAGAGAAGTTCTCTGAAACCAAACTGACTCTAGGGTTTCAAAACAAAAATCAGAAAACCCAAGCCACATTGAACTTACGATCGAATACAGACACTACCTTAGACGCCGCGTCATCGGTGACGACGTCATCGACCTTCGTGATTCCATCATCGGGGTGCCCGTCAAGGTCTCCCTCCAAATCACCCTCCACTTCCTCTGGAATTTCCCCCCCGTATACCTCGTGCTCTTCCTCCATTTTCCGAGCTCACTAACCAGGGAAGAAACTCACGCAAAGAAAGATTGCAGCCGCGCCAACGGAAGAGCTGCTATACCATACTAGAGGCAGGCTTGCAGAAGCAGCGACACCACTCCCTACCACAAATCCTCCTCACCATACAGCGCAACTCCCTCTTTCCTCTCCCCTTCACCACCGCGGACAATGCCGCCAATCTCCTCAACGCAAAGCCAAAGCCTCCCTCCTCACCGTGCCCTCCACGACCACACCCGCGCTTCCTCCGCGGCCTCCTTGTCCTTCGTCCTTCCCGACCTTTAAACTAGCCTACAAATCTTTGTTCACTACGTAAACGAACGCTCTATCTTTCACTGCAAACTCCTGCGACCTGTGCGAGCCCTTCTTCAATACAAACTGTCCTCTCCGGATCTTCCTCCCTCGTTTGTGTGCTCGCGTGCGTGCTTCCTTCCTTCCGTCCTTCGTTCCTATATCATGTGCTCTCTTACTGTTTCGTCCCTCTCGTGCTTTCGACCAGAACCTCGTCCTCGAAGCAGTGTGAAGAAAACGAAGAGCCGATGCTTCTCTGCACACGAGAGACACGCTCGAGGCCTTTTCTTTCGTTTGTTGGATGGCAAACCCCAAAGGAGTGAGGAAACTGCGAAGAAGAAGGAGGAGGAGGAGCAACCGAGTTCGGCAACAATCGCAGTCCACACTGCAGTGCTGCTATTTTCGGCGATGCGAATGCAGCGAATGCGAAATAGGGTTCCGTCCCATCTGCCTGCGTCTTCGCGGCGTTTCGCTATTCATCTAACGGGTGCGAATACGAAGGCCGTGCCCGCGAGCCGTGACATGCTCTCGCTCTGTGGTTTCGCCCATGCAATCATAGTAGGGTTCGCTGGCCTCCTTTTCGCCTCTTTTCGCCTCTGTCCAGCTTCCTTTCGCTCTTCTTTTCGTTCCCTTCCCTCCGGACGACGCGCCGGTGATCGTACTTCTGCATGTCGTGACCTGGAACGAACTCCCTCGCGACCACGAGCCCCGACCACGAGCCCCGACCACGGCTTTGGAGGACACTCGTGGTTCCGCTCGTCCTCCGAGTGCTGCACGGTGCTTTACGCAGTCGTCATTCCCCGCTTTCTTCTGTCTACTACGTACTTCTCTGCGCGTTACTTTCGGTAGGCCTCCTATCAAACGTCAGGATATAGGTCACACGTTTCGTCAGGTAAAGGACAAGTACACTCAAAGAAACAGAATTCCATATCCCCTCTAATTGCTTAATGATAACCCAACCCAAATCTCACGAAAAATACGACTTCATCTCAAGAGAAATACCATATTGTTTTCAGTTATCATTTATTTGATATCCTATTCATCGAAAACTATGACGTTTCATATGTATTAAATAATAATTATGCATAAAACTGCAGTCCATTATAAATAAGTTATCCCAATGTCAACTGCTAAATTTTTTTATACCAGAAAAAAAAAATCATACATCTTAATACTCGTGATAATTATTTTTTCTAAACTTATATGAATATGTGACGTGACTGCATGGAATATTACTGTGAATAATTTTTGGGTTTAAACATTGTGAAATTGACATTATTTTAATCTGATATCCTACGGTCAACTGTATGGTGACTTTGAAGATCTATTGACTAGATTATTGTTTTTCTATTTTTCATTCATAATTTTTCATTGCAAAGGATGAATTTTATTAAAATTTTATTATACATATCTTGTAACTCCAAAGATTCAAACCTTCTACTACCATTCAAACTTTACAATTAATCAACTTCCTTGTATCTAAAGAGAATGTCATAGTGATTAGTAATTGAACTTTTTCATATCATTATTCCATCTTTCAAACATATTACAAGATGTTATAAAATTAATTATGTACCAATCTTTACATCCAGCCAATACAAAACTTCACAGCATCATTTTATTTTTCGTAACAAGTATTTAAAGTAAATATTATTAGTTCATGAAATGCTACAATTACAAACTTAACTATCCAACCTAAGATTAAGCATACATTCAATACTATTTCAATTTTCCATTTTTGCAAAATTAAGTTGTGATTTTTTTTATTAATAATTGTTGACAGTTTGAAATGTTCACTACACTATGTAAATCATTGTAAAAATTCAAATATTACTTAATTCTAGCTTTCCAATATTCATAATTCATAAATTAGTATTTTTTTTTTAAATCTCAAATCTTAATTAATCATGCATAGCTTGTTCAATCATTGATTCTAATGACATAGTTCTTTTACTATCTTCACTTTGTAACCAATAATTATACAAAACTTTAAAGAAATTATCAAACACATTGAACAATGTTTTTCATCAAAATTTCTTCATCAATAAGAATGGATATTTAATCTTGAAAAGTAAAAAATCATATAAAATAAAATAAATTTTAAGTTGTTTATGTATGTTAAATAATGTTATTGAATAAAGCAATGTATATATTTAATAATTTCAAAGTTGACAAAATTATCACTTAAATATTATAACATTTATTCGATATACTAACAATATTTTTTCTATGATTATGTTGAGATATTATATATGATTGTAGATTATATATGACATAATGTTTAATCTTTTTGAAATCTACTCTTTAATATTTTACAAAGTTGATACAAAATTAGTTCAGTCCGAATTACATACTCGCCACCATGAAGATCTTATTGTACATAATTGTTAATAATAATTTGTGATATCAATAGATTGAAAGATATTATTTTTAACATTTTTAAATATAATTAAGGCAACACATCAACATTGTGTTTTGATTTTATTTCAGACTTCCAATTTTATTCAATGTATGAAAAAATATAATGTTTATCATTCATCAATCTTATACTAACCTGTAAATTATGATTTCAAAAATTTTCAAATGTCACCATTTTTGTATAAATCATATTTTAAATTTTATTTAATTTTGAATTTTTATTTATTTAATTTTAAAAAAACTCATTTCTATTGTATTAAACTCATGACCTTGAGTGACATTTTTTGATTTTGATGATATAGTTTGCATTTCAACCAACTACATGCATTTCAAATTATTAACTTTCCAAATTTAACAACAAAATATATAAAAACCGTGTGATTTTTATAATTTATCTTTTGTTGCATGCATTTTTTCAAAGATAATATTTCAATAAATTCTTAACAAATCAGATATTTATAACACAAAGGAGAAATTTTTGATTGAACCATGCAACGTCATTCATTTCATGTAGTATACTCTCAAAATTGATAATATTTCAAATGTGAATGAAAGTGATAAATAAACATCATGTTTTTAGTCGTCCGTATTGAAAATTTACAATATTTATTATACATAAATAATAAGTTTGTAAAAATATGTCATAGTATCATGGTTAAACTTATTTAAAAAATATTTCTTACAATTGCTTTTTTTAAAATAATAATTATTGAAAAAACACGTAATTTGAAAAAAATATCATATACAAATATACAACAATCTATCTAACATACAAATGATCAATGAGAGTTTAGTTTGATTGAAATATAAATTAAACAATTCAAAATGATGTGATACATACAAAATACAAACAAATAATGAAACATGTTTTTAACAAATTTTGTATCATGTATTTGATGTAAAAGTAAATGCATAAACAAAAATTGAAAAACTCTATGCATACACTACAACAAGTTTACTTGATTTGTCATTATCATATATTTTACATTGACAATGAGGTATTTACTAAAAGAACTTACAAAATGTTGAATGCGAGTTGTGGCTTATTCTCATATATACATACATACATACATACATACACATACATATATTTATATATATATATATATATAAATTATGCTAAAAGATAGCATAATTTACAATTCTAACTTTAAATATAATTGAAGTAGATTAACAAAATTTTAATAAAAAACTTGAATTAATACTAACAATATTGTTTTCAATTCATTTTGTGAGGTAGTAAACTCCATAATCTATAATGATTTAATTATAAATTCCAGAATCAACCTAACAAAAAGTATTCTTACGCTATAGTTAATTAAAAATGAGTTATAATCAAAATATAAATATGAAGATAACAAAAATTTATAAGAAACTCAAATTCTACTCCTCGTGTTAAATTTGCATAGAATCACAATGTTTTCTAAAATTGTATGAAATAATATGTTTTATAAGTTCATTACTTTGATTGGATTTAAATTTGATTTTGATAAGCTAATTTCTTTTATCACACATTGTATATTTAATAGAGTGATACATGATTTTGATATGTTTCACTATGATGTTCATTACTTGACTCACAACAAGATGTATAACATTTTGATTATTATATTGAAAATTAACAATGTAGTGTCTAAATTTCATCTAGGTGTTAGTATTATTCAATCAAATAATTTACATTGTTGCTTCTATTGCTATAAATTCAACTTCTATTGTCAATTGAATTACACACTTTTGCAAAATATATCTTTATAAACTCTATTATATACTCATTTGTAGATTTCTTACTTTTCAAATTATGGCCATGCTTAACATCAAGGTAGCATAGCAATGATTTAGTTTTGTCAACTAAATCACCAAACAATTTATTATAATCTTTGAAATTCCTTATGTTACAGATTATATACTTTAATACTTTTCAATGCCATTTTTTTGAATTTGATATGTATATGCTCACCTTGTTCATTTCAAGAGCAATATCAGAACTTGTGCATACTATTGAATAGATGAGTTATTTACAATTTTGTCATAACAAATTTATGATAGCTTTATAAATTCAAATAAAGTGTTCAATACAAAAATTATGTTAATTGTTTTTAATGCATTTTTCTTATCGAAAATCAATCTATTTGTTCATCAAGTTCATATTGTTATCAGTTCATGTGCTAATCATCAATTGAATGAGGTTGTTCACAATTTTATCATATAAAATTGATAATACTTAATCTATATCAAATGCATTCTAATGAGTATGAAGTTATGAAAAAATTAAATTTTATTGTCAAAAAGTACTTATGCTTTTTATTTGTCATGTTAAATTTATGAAACACACGATAAATGTAATTGTTTTGTCTCAATCAAAGATTATTTTTTTCAAGTATGAATATACAACTCTGCTTTTCTATTGAATGCATCCAAATATTTAATCTTAAATTAAACATTTTTTTTATGTGATACCATATTTCCAACATATCATCAAATTATCTTACATGGACATACTCTTTGGTCAAAACCGTTATCATTTTTTGAATAGTATCTAACTCAAATCACATAAAGCGTACTACATAAATAATTATATGAATTATATATCCAAATCATCTTCTACTATAAATTACTAATCAACAAAACACACACAACTATGTAGTAAATAATTGTCAACCAATTTTGACAAAACAACACATGTGACAAAGATGAAACAAATATATATCTATTTGAAGATTTTGAAAATCAATTACAAGACCATCAAACATATCAATGTGATCCTAAATCTTTGTGTTAAAACCTTTTATATTGAAATTCATAAGCTTCAAGAAAACATACAACATGTTGAATTTTTGTTTACAATAAAATTGTACTTTAAATTTGTTTTAATTAAATAATAATTGTCATACTCATGTAATTGCTTCAAGATCGACAAATGCAAATGTTTTATGACTGTGCTTAAAACATAATCTTGAAGTTATTTCCACTATTCATCTCTGGAACTTAAATTGTTTGGCCTTAATTTTTTTAACTAGATTCATAGCATTGAGCCATATTCTCATTTTGTTTCTTTCAAAGCAAAAAATCACCA